ACTTTTCTTGGCAAGATCGGGTGATTGTGGCGCAGTAAGTCACGTGTGGCGCAGTATGTGGCGCAGCAATGATCTGCGAAATAAAAGATAAATATTATATAATTACTAATTACTAATCTAATTTTGTTACAGTTTAAAGTTTTAATATTATAAATTAATAGTAATAATATTTAAAATATCTTTTTTAAAAAAATAATTTTTTTTAGTAAAATGATATTTTATTTATTATTAAATTAAATATAATAGAATAATTAAAATAATATAAAAAGTTAATTTAAATTATTTTTTTATTTAATATAATAAATTATAAAGATTAATTAAAATTTGAATGATTTTTTTTATAATTATATCTTTTTATATTTATTTAATTTAGCTTTTTTAAATATAATAATTATAAAAATTTAATATATCTAATAATAATTTTAATTTTATAAAAAAATTTAAATTGATAAATAGAAATATAATTTATTAATCTTGTTATAATTCTAAAAATTAGTATTACAACTTAATAAATAATAATAAAAATATTTTATATTTTAAAAAATATAATTATAAATAGAATTTTTATAATTTAATCATATATAAATCTTTTGATTTTATTATTAAAACTTTATAATATAATAAATATAATATATAATAACAATTAAAAAAATATAATACTTGAATTTTTTACTAATTATAATTAGTAAAAAATTCAAGTGTTGTATTCTTTTGATTGCTAGCATAAATAATAATAATATAAGAAACTAAACTTAGTAGATATTTAAATATTTATATTTTAATTATTTTTTTATTTAAAGAAATTTTTATAAAAGTTTATATTTTGTATTATATATAAAAATTTTCTTGATTTTTATAATAATTATTTTATTTTTCTATAGTTACTATCAATTCTTTTATTATTGCTTGTATTGAGCAAAGTCATATCTCTTTGATTAAAATTTATTTGATAATTTTCTTTTATATAATAGGATTCACAAAATTTATAGTAGTTAGTAATTTGTAATGTAAATGATCAAACTGTATATAAAGAATAACTCTCACAAGCTAAAAAGACAAGTCACTGTGAAATAAATAAATTATTCTTTAACTCTTATCTAACAAGTACTTCAGCTTTTATATTTTTTGTATCTTAACAAAATTGATAAGTTTAATTCTTTTATGCTTAACATTTGAAGACTTCACTAATTTGGCCATATAAAGCTGCTGAATCACATTTGGTTTGACATTTAGTTTGATCCTTTAGATTATTAGATTATTATTGTAATTGACTTTGATATTATTATTGTTTCATAATAAATCCATTATTGTATTTAGACAAATATTATTTAATTTTATTAGTAATTCTATAATTATTTTGTTAATTGGAATTAAAGATTATATTATGTTAAGAAAATTGTTATTATCTTTGAATTAAATATTGTTAATTCATACTTATCTTGCCTTATTGCCCTCCGTTTGCACAATCTCCATATAGATTGACAGGGGAACAATTTCGTAAATCATTCTTCAACTAATTGATCTCAAACTATTATTATAATTGTCAAAAAAATTTCCTTTCTTATTCTTCTTATGACACAAGTAAAAACCGAAAACATGTTATGCATGTATTAACCGATGCAATGACGACAACATGAATCGGAAAATTTGGTCTGATATGAAAAAAATGCTAATTTAGAATACCGGTAATGTTCAAAATCCCTGACGTACACAATCCAAAATGTTCATAATCCCGATAACGAAATCCCGAAATCGTGATAATTGATATACCATACATTTGTGATGTAATAATTTCGCGATTTCAATCAATCGGGACGCCATCCTTTCGGAATTTCGATATCATTCTTCGGAGTTCATTCATTCAGGATGCCGTCTTCAGGATTTCGATCATTCAGATGCCATTATTTAGGATTCATTTTTCGGGCATATGAACGTTCAGGGATGTGTTGTCTGCTCGACTCTTAGTATAAATATCGTTATACAGTATAGGAAGTTGTGTCTTGTGCACGTAACGAAAGTTTTTTGATAAAAAATAAGGAAATTTCAGTATAAACCATTTTATCATCATGCTAAGTTTTATCAATTTATATTTTTATTAAAACAATTTAAAAGATTCTCAAGCTAATATTCATTAATCTCAAAGAATTTGAATTATGATACGAACAGTCATAAAAAAATAATGCTGTATATAATTCCTTAAAATACCTTTCATTTTATTAGGAAAGTTAAATTAATAAAGTAATACAGTAAGATACTCACCACAAAATGTTATTATGTTTGGTCTTGGGATGAAAACTTTTATTTCAATTTATTGTCACGATACGAGTTCAATTCATTAATTTTACGTGACATGTATTTAGGTGTAAATTTTATATAAAGACTATGGTTCCACAAACGACCATGCCGGCATATGTGGCAAAAGTGTTAACATCCAAGAGCCTATCTTTTTTAATTAAGCTCAATGTTTTTGCCTGTGTCAATTCCTGTGTCACAATATTTTAGGCCTGCCACATAAAGTTTAGTACTAGCTTATTATATTATTAAAGAAATTCAAATAAAAAAACTTTTCCAAATAAGACTTGCCTTTATTATCTTCCACCTTTGCATTCAACGCATATTTGCATTACAATTTCGTATTTGCAATTCGTGTTTGCATTTACTTTATTCACTTTACCTTTGTGTTTGTAATACTAGTAATAACCTAATAAATAACGCTCATGAACGTCATTTAAAAATCATACCCTTTAAAATAGCGTACACTGTTTCAAATTAACGTCAATTGGCGTCCCCGAAATAATGCGCACCCAATGTAGTGTATTGGCAAATTACGTATTGTGAGGACAACGGGTAATATTAAGTTTTGACTGAATGATTTACAATCAAATTATTTCTTTAAGAGTTCTAGTCATTAACAAGTGAGTATAGTTTTAAAATAATTGCACAAATATTGGACTTGGTTTCTGCCAATTATTCAACAATCAATTTCGCAAGTTTCTAACAAAATGATATATAAACACAAGTGAGGCTTAATTTCTGCCAACAATACAATATGTAAATTCGAAGTATGGTTTGTTTATAGTGAAGGCTCCACTACTTGTGCAGAAAACAAGCTTGAAGTTATATACTGTAAGTAACAAGTAAAGGTAAAATTTTACAAAAGTTGTCTTTATTTTATTTATTAAACATGTCACTCTTGGTTAGGAAGATCTTTTACATTTTCCTCAGCTATACGCTATTTATGCGGTTCGTGTGCAGAACATAAGTACAAGAGAAAATACAGCATTAAGCACAGGAGGAATTACGGGAAAATTCATGATCAAACACAAAAATAATACAAAGGAAAATACAAAAGAAAATACTAGCTGGAACGCGAAAGGAAATTACACAAGAAACAATGTACATGCACATACAAGATTAAACAAAATTCGTAATAATATAGATACTGTATTAGTTAACAATGGCGTTATAATTAAAATGAAAATCATGTAAAAATTTACGTGAATAAAAAGTTTAACGATGCATGTATTATTGGGGTGCATGTCAAATACGTTTAATCGATGTCAATAATGAAACATCTTGCACATCGAATAGTACCACAGCAATGGCCAAAAAAAGTTTGATCATGTGATTTTTAAGAGGTAATCGAATACATGCAATTTACAATTTACTAGAAACGGCAAGCATAACCAGCATCGCCCATTTTACTAAAACATTATCCAGAAGTTTAATCTCGTAAATGGCTTTGCGATTTTGTTCATTTGTGTTTAATAATATTGATTTAAATAGAAGAAAATTGTCCAAATAAAATAATCGAGGCTTGTATACAATTAATGTGCTAAAATACAAGTCGTGTTCTAATCACCAAAGGAGTGCTAAATAAGTTAGTGCTACACGGAAATAATTTGGCCGTAAATTCAGAATAACCGGTTGTGAATGCTCCATTACTAATCTTTTTTGTTTAGAAGATCTTGCTAAAGTTTTCTAGTTATTATATTCATCAAAGATTGGTTTTTACAATTGATAACTTTTTTCTTAAAGAATGTTCGGCAGCGATCCTATTTTTTTTATTATAAATGCTGATTACAGATACTATTATTATCAATACAAATGTTATATACAAAGAACATGTCTCAGGTATTTATTTACACGGACTAAGTAATCAAAACTATGTCAGCTACATTGATCATTTTACAAAAATCAGATTTTTATTAATCGAATGTCATTTATATTACTTAATTATAAAGAAAATCACAGAATTTCAAAAAATTCACATAAATACCGCACTTATTTTTCTAATTTCTTTTGATTGAAATTTTTCGTTATAACTATTTCCAAGTAACTATGTTTGATTTCTTGCAAAAGTTCTAATAAAGTTTCAACTGGTATGTTTAAGATAATTTTTTGTCCTATTCTTCGACATTATATAAATAATTGGTAAAAATTTCAAGGTAAAAATAAATTATATATTAATACATGTAGTTAGCTGACATGGTTTTGATTAATAGCGATTGGCCGTGTGACACCTCAATGATAGTCACGCGCCAGTACGAAATTACGCAACAACAAAACGAGTTGTGGTAAAAACCGGCAATTAGTCGATGTTTCGTAAGATCTTTCATCAAGAAAAGTCTTTGATATCATTTCGTCCGATTACTCCATTAATATTATAGATGAACATTGAGGATATAGTAAGACCTAAAGCAAACAATTTCGTAGCCCAATTATAACCTTGTTGTGGATATCCCACATATCGATACCATTTTTAAAGCTAGCTGCTTGGGAGCCAAGGGAGAATCCATCGTGACGACCAAGTAAAAGATTGGCAAAAAAGATTTCCCACGATATGCACCGCTTTATTCATGTTTTATTGAGAGGTAACGGTAAGCAAAAATTTCTAAACATCTACTTAAACTTACCAACAACTACTACAGCAACCGGTTCTTCAATACTTTCAATAATATTCAATGCAATTTGATTTAAATTCGTTCATATTTCATTAATTTTATTGAAGTTCCTTTTTGCCTAACTGACACAGAAAATACAGTAAGTTGCAGCTTTTTGGGTCAGACGGCCGTAAGTATTGCTGGGTCCATACATGTTCCTTCT